GTATGCCGTCAAAATGCCGCGGCGGGGTCTGTTTCCGCGATCCCTCTCCGCGGCAGGCCAAAACGGTTCCAGTCCTCTGAACGACCGGAAATGACTGTCTCTAGGTGTGCTCAGTGCACCCATCCATCTTGCTGCCTTCGGGGGTCACTCTTAAAATCCAGTGCGCCCAGAATCAGGGGTACCCTGAGTTCTCATAATTCCTGCAGCCCGGTCATCCCAAAACACTGTCAAAATGCGAACTTAACCCTGAGCCTAAACCCCTAAACTGCCGTTTCCAGGCGGCGCACTACTTGTGGCCGCCTGACACCGTGTCGTGCCACCGGCTGTGGAGGGGATTTGGATGCACCCGGGACAACAGAGAGTCGTGCCTGAAGCTGTGGTGAGGATGTGGCCTGTGTACCCTGCGGGCCTGCGACAGCCCAAGGGTGGAGTCAAGGGGAGGTTGCTGCACAGGCAGATGACTCAAGGCGAGTGGCACAGCGAGGGGGTACGAGCCTTGGGCCGCGGAGGGGCCCCTTCATCCCTGCCGCTGAGACACATCCCTCGCCTTGCGCTGTGCTTCGTTCTCAGCGGGAGGGTGGGGGTGAGTCGCGGTCCCTTCCACCATCGTCTTCGGCTTATAAATTTGGCCCGGTTGCAGTGGGGGGGGGGTGGGGCTGACCCCGACTTGGCCGTTCAGCAGGGCGTTTGTCCTTATTGGCTGACGGCAAATCCTGGGTTATTGCATTGCTCTTATCTCGCAGGCCCGATTTTGATTGCATCTGTTCCCTGCCATTTCCCCAATTTGCCGGCACTGGGGAAGCCCCGGTCTTCCCTTTCTGTTTAGGATCTTTGTGGACTATGTATTTTGCTCCAACTGGATAGACCGAGGGCCCTCCCAAACCCTGCCAAATCCATTCCCCCGAATGGCGATCTGCATATGCAGTAAATGTCCACCCTTGTAGTTGTCTCTCTTCCGGGTACCATCTCTCTTCATCTGTTGGGTGAGGGACCACCAGTCCCTTAATTTTGTGTTTTTTGTTTTTGGGGCACGCTTCTTGTGAGTTGAGGTGCCACTTTCCTTACAGGCGTAGCACCACGGGTCCTGAGTATGGATGACCGGAATCGAGAATTCCCTTCCTGCTTAAGAGTATCTCCACTCCTTATTGAGCGGGAAGGGGTAGGATGGATCCCAGTCCACTGCTACTAACAAGGAGTCGTCTCTTCTGCCCAAGAACTGAGGTAGTTGTGTAATATATCCTTTTATGTGAGCGATGTTTTCTAAGTCCGTGAGAATAGCCCCCTGGACAGTCAGCGGGGCGAATCTGAACTCGACCCAGAAGTTGGACGACATCAGGTACTCCCTTTTCTCATCAGCAGACTGTGGGTCAGCAGGGGACCATGCTGCCACTCGCACCGAGCCCCCTCTAAACTGCAAAGTTTTATTTTTCAACAGAAGGTGTTTGTCTGTTGAGTAGACGGCAATCACCGTTATGCAGTCCTGCTTATCCACTTCTATGAGAAAGTGGTCGTTTATCAACTGCCTGTCCGGCTTTATGAGTCCCAATCTATCCCTAATCCATTTGACTTTCTCATTGACCGGCAAAGCCAAGTGCAAGGATGAGAAGCGATACTGAACCGTTTTCAGTGCATAGATCAAGTTCCTTAAACTGTCGCCTGTGGTGGAAAAATGGAATGAGGATAGATATATCCATCTCTGACTTGGAATTTCCTTTCTGGCTCTACGTGCAGTTGTTGAATGAGATGACTCTTGAGCGGGGCCATGGAGTCCAAGGTGGTGGATCTCGATGCCTCCACCTGCACAGGGGCAGAGAGCGCTTTTAGCAGCTGCGGAGGCATTTTAAGAGAGGCGGCTGATGTGGAGGGCGTGTCTCGAGACTGTTGATCCGAGAGCATGAGCTTGTCTTTCCACGTATTCCCCTTGTAGGCGAGACCAGCCTCTTCCACGGTCACCTCTCTTCTGCTTTTAACCTCTGTCCCCCCTTTGGCGGTTGCTGATGCTAACAAAGCCTACCTTTCCTGTCGGTTGCATACCCAGCAGTTTGACCACGGGGGGAGCAGCCGCTTCCCCTTGGTTGCGTTGTTCGTTGACATCAGTCTGTTTCCCCTGACCCTCCTCCTTATCAGCCCCATTACCCCCGTGGGCGTGAAGGGGGGCAGGGGCAGAGCTTCTCACCTGGGGAGTCGCCATCTCAGTCCGTATGTGATGGTGAGGGGTCTTACTTAGGAGCGAAAACAAGGACTCTCTATGCAATCAATCCGTCCAGACTGTGCACGACCATTTGGGAGGGCCAGTCTCGGAATCCCTATCTTCCCCAGGTTTTAAGTGGTCGGTTAGATGATAGATTTTTATCTGTCGTTAGTCAGGTATCATCCCGGGCTTTGATTGGCCAGTTAGATGATAGGTTTTTTTTTTTTTTTTTTTTTTTTTTCCAGTCACGCATCATGGGTGTGCCCCGGATGTGTTTGCGGGCACTTAGGAGTGAGTCACAGTTAAGAAATTGCACACAAATCAGCAACGGGCGGTTGTGAAGGTTACGTCAATATGAT